TGTGTAACTCTGACTTTCAAACAATAAATAAATAAATCTTAAAAGAAAAAAAGAATGAGTGGTCTGCATCCTGGTTCCCCTACTTTGAATCCAGCTTCCTACTAATGCGCCTGGGAAGGCAATGGATGACAGCCCAAGAACTTGAGTTCCTGCCACCCACAAGGAATACCAAGATGGAGTTCCTGGCTCCTAGCTTCAGGCCAGTCCATCCCCAGATGTGTGGGCCTTGGAGAGTGAACCAGTGAATGAAACTCTCTCTCTCTCTCCATCTCTCTACGCATTTCTGTCACTCTGCCTTTCAAATAAATACATACATACATAAGTAATTCTCAAAAAATTTAGTATTAACCTTAAAAAAAAAAGAGATTGATAACATGGACTGCACTAAAAACATCTGTTCATCAAAAAGTGCTGTACAGGGGCTGGTGCAGTGGCACAGTGGGTTAAAGCCCTGGCCTGAAGCGCCAGCATCCCATATGGGCGCTGGTTCCAGTTCCGGCTGTTCTTTTCCAGCTCTCTGCTATGGCCTGGAAAAGCAGTGGAAGATGGCCCAAGTCCTTGGGCCCCTGCACCAGCATGGGAAACCCAGAAGAAGCTCCGGGCTCCTGATCAGCGCAGCTCCGGCTGTTGCAGCCAATTGGGGAGTGAACCATCGGATGGAAGACCGCTCTCTCTCTGCCTCTCTTCTCTCTGTGTAACTCTGACTTTCAAATAAATAATAAATAAATCTTTAAAAAAAAATAAAGCACCATATAGGGGTTGGCACAGCGGATAAAGCTGCCACCTACAGTGCCGGCATCCCGTATGGGCACTGGTTTGAGTTTGGCTTCTCTATTTCTGATCCAGCTCCCTGCTATGGCCTGAAAAAGCAGTAAAAGATGGCCCATTTCCTTGGGCCCCTGCACCCACGTGGAAGGCCTGGAAGAAGCTCCAAGCTCCTAGCTTCAGATTGGCTCAGCTCCAGCTGTCCTGGCCATTTGGGGATTGAACCATCGGATAGAAGACTTTCTCTCTCTGCCTCTGCCTCTCTGTAACTCTGCCTTTCAAATAAAAAAATAAATCTTAAAAAAAAGCACTGTACAATTGTTCAATATGGATGATTAGAATATGTAGCCTTATTATATATTCTGTTTTTGTGTATGCTTGAAAATGATCAACAACATTTTTATAAAAGACAAAAAATTGTAAGAGAACCAATGATGGGAGAAGATACAGTCATCATACAGGGCTAGTATCTCAAGTACACAAAGAACTCCAATAGATCAGTAAGGAACAATCTAGGAGTGAAATATTCAGGGTTCGTTTAAGCCACTGCCTGTAACAGCAGTATCTCGTATGAGCGCCAGCTCCTGTTCCCTCCTTCACCCCAGCCCAGGGCTGCTCCACTTCTGATCCAGCTCTCTGCTAATGGCCTGGGGAAAACAGCAGAAGATGGCCCCAGTGTTTGGGCCCCTCCCACCCACATGGGAGACCTGGAGAAAGTTACTGGCTCCTGTCTTTGGCCAGCAGTTGTGGCCACCTGAAGAGTGAACCAGCAGATGGAAGATCTCCCTGTTTCTCCCTCTCTCCCTGTAACTCTGTCAGGTAAGTAAATAAAACTTTAAAAAATAAAAAAGAATAAAATATAAAGGAAAAATATTCAGAAAGGTACTTTAAAAAAGAGGCGATCCAATGACCAGTAAGTATATTCTTAACCTCATTAGTAATCAGGAAAATAGAAATGAAAACCTCAAAGGAGATGCATCCAGAATAACTAAAACAGCAGCTCCCAGAATGCCAAGGATGTAGAACACCGGGGACTCTTCTTCACTGCTGGTGGGAGCTGACGTTCCTAGGGCCACTCAGGAAAGCCATTTGGCACTTTCTAGTAGAGCTGAACTTGCTCCTTCCCCAACAGCACAGAGACTGCAACTCAAAGTCACAGGTCTCTCAGAAACTCTAGTCTATACGTTCCATTTACATGAGAAAGACTGCACTATTCTTCACTGTCAATGACAGGAAACCACCCAATGGTCCATCAATAATTAGGTGAATACATTAATTGTAGTATATTCATACACTCGAACTGGACAGAGTAATGATAATAAATGAACCACAGCTACACACAGCAATGGGATTTTTTGTTACAAAGACACCATTGACCTAAAAAAGCAAGACAAAAATAAATTAGTATAATGCCTTGTATATTAAGTTCAGAACCAGGCAAAACTGAACAATCCACACAGGTAAACAGATGGTAAAACTGTGAGGATGCACAGGAACTGGTTTTCACAAGTTGGAAGAGGGGTTCCTTTGGGGCAGAGGGAGAACATGTTGCAGGTGGGGGAAGTGGCAGGGACAGTGTGAATATCGGGATGTTGTCAATATTCTAAACTTGAGCTGGACTGTGGTTTCCAGGATGCTCTCTAATTTACTTTAAATCTCTCTCTCTCTCTCTCTCTGTCTCTCTGTCTCTGTCTCTCTCTCTCTCTATATATATATACACATACATATATATACATACATACATATATACACACACACACGCACACACACGTTTTGTATGTTTTATACAATCCATGATATAGAAGGGTAAGACAAAGTCATGTTTAGAGACAACCACTACCATAAGATAAATTATTGAGTAAATGAAACCTCACAAGCAGTGTTTGAAAGAATACCCAAGGCTGATGCTGCAGCTCAATAGGCTAATCCTCCACCTTGCAGCACCAGCACCCCAGGTTCTAGTCCCAGTCGGGGCGCCGGATTCTGTCCCGGTTGCTCCTCTTCCAGTCCAGCTCTCTGCTGTGGCCCCGGAGTGCAGTGAAGGATGGCCCAAGTGCTTGGGCCCTGCACCCGCATGGGAGACCAGGAGAAGCACCTGGCTCCTGCCTTCAGATCTGCGTGGGTGCGCCTGCTGCAGCGCGCCAGCCCAATGGCCACTGAGGGATGAACCAATGGAAAAGGAAGACCTTTCTCTCTGTCTGTCTCTCACTCACTGTCCACTCTGCCTGTCAAAAAAAAAAAAAAAAAAAAAAAATAGAAAGAAAGAAAGAATACCCAAAGACTCATTGTCCAACCAAACATCTAACTACAAAGAACAAGAGCCTTCCACAGCAATAACCAACAAAACCAAAAACAAACTGATGGGATCATGTCAAACTAAAACACTTCTACACATCAAGGGAAAGAATCAACAGGGTGCAGAGACAACCTACAAAGATAAAATGTTTGTAAACTATACATTTGAGAAGCTCTTAATATACAAAATATCTAAGAAACTCAACCAACTTAATAGCAAGAAAACAAATAGTCCAATTTAAAAATAGCAAAAGACATAAATAGACATTACTCAAAGACATAAAAAAAATTCAATAGGTATGTGAAGAAAGTGTTCAACTCACTAATTATCAGAGATGCAGATATTACAACCACAGTGAGATATCGGCTCACATCTGTTAGGCCACTTGTCAAAAGAGATGAAGGATAAGTGTTGTGAGAATGTGGAGATAAGAGGACCCTTGTAGGCTATTGGTGGGAATGTAAATTAGTGCCAACATTACAGAAAACACTATGGATGATCCAGTAGTCTGTATGATCCAGTAATCCTGCAGCTGGGTAGGATTAAAAATACAGGAAACAAAATCAGCACATATAAGAGATGTCTGCACTTGCATGCTCAGTGCAGAATTATTCACATTAGCCAGGATATGGAATCAACTAAGCGCCCATCCGTGAGTGAACAGATGAAGAAAATGTGGTGTGTTATATGCCAATGGAATGCTATTCGGCCCTGATAAAGGAAGAAATCCTGTCATCTGTGATAACGTGGATGAACCTGAAGGACACTCTGTTGAGTAAGAAAAAAGCCACTCACAGAAAGTGTGTGACCTCACATCTATGTGAGATCTTAAGTTGAACTCAGATGTGGAGTAGAAGGGTGGTTACCAGGGGCTGGGGGACAGGGAGGGTTGGGAGACACTGGCCAAAGGCCATAACATTTCAGTTACACAGCAGCAGTAAGTTCAAGGGATCTACTGTTCAACATGGGCACTACAGTTAATAACAATGTATTGCACACTTGAAAATAACTATAAATTTTATGTATTCTCACCATAAAAGCCAAGCATATGAAGTAATGTGTATGTTAATTAGTTCAATTTAGCCATTCCACAATGTACACACATTTCTTTAAAATTTTTTAAAAACTTATTTGAGAGAAAGAGATCTCTCAGCTATTCGTTTTCTCCCCAGCTACCCACAATGACCAGGGCTGGGCTGAAGTCAAAGCTGGGAGCCAGGAAGTGAATCAAGGTCTCCCAGTGGGAGGGACCCACTTACTTGAGCCATCACAGCTTCCTCTCGGGGTCTGCCTCAGCCAGAGCTGGAGCTGGGAGCTGGAGGCGGGTATTAAACCCAGACACTGATGTGAGATACAGGAGTCTCAACCAGAATCTTATTTACTAGGTCAAACACTAGTCTCTGTATACATGTTTCAAAAAGTCATCTTGTACATCATAAAACATAAATGATTTTCATGTGTCAATTTAAAAATAAATTAGCTTTTTGGGAAAAAAAAAGAATAAGAGAGAGACAATTAAGGATTTGGTAAAAACCAATATTCACTCTATTGGTTGGAAATAAAAACAAGAGGCCAGCACTGTGGCACAGCAAGTTAAGCCACTGCCTACAGCACCTGCATCCCACATGGCTGCAGGTTCGATTCCCTGCTGCTCCACTTCCGATCCAGCTCCCTACTAATGTGCCCAGGAAAGCAGCGGAAGATGGCCTAAGTGCTTGGGCCCCTGCCACCCACGCGGGAGATCTGAAAGAAGCCCAGACCTGGCTGTTGCGGCCATCTGCAGGGTGAACCAGGGGATGGAAGATCTCTCTCTCTCTCTTTCTGTCTCTCCTTCTCTCTGCAACTCTTTCAAATAAATAAATCTTTTTAAAAAAAATACAGAAACAAAACAGAGGAACTGTGTATACCAAGCAATGAAATTAAAGAAGATAGGACATACCAGTGGCTGTCAACCTTTCAGGGTGCATCAATGCTTGAAAAATCTGATGGGCAAGAAGAACTTTGCATTAGTCAGTTGTAACAAAATAGCTGAAGCAGCCAACCTACAGAGAAAAGGGCTATTTTGGCTCATGGTTTTGGAGGCTCAATGTCCAAATGGCAAGGCACAGGTTTTGGGAATGGTGAGGGGCCCACAGCAGGTGGCAGAGTGTGTTCACAGAAAAGATCACATGCAAGCCAGGAAGCAGAGAGATAGAGAGAGGGAGAGAGGGAGAGAGGCCAAACTCGGGCTTTTACATCAGTTCTCCCAGGAGAACTACTAAGGAGTCCCACGAGGGTTGTGTCCCTTCTGCGGGTACAACCTCAATGACCTAAGGACTTCCCACTAGGCCTCATCTCCTAAGGGCTCTACCACCTACCAACAGCACCACCTTGAAGGTCAAGCCTTAACAAAGGCCCTTTGGGAGACATTTGGCATCCAAACCATAGCAAACTTGTTTTTCAGGAAAGTCAAATTTACAGGAAACTTGCATGCATTTTTAAGAGATTTATAGACTCACTAAAATACAACCAAGAACAAGAGGTTTGGACCCCACATTAGGAATTTTGCCATAGAATCTATGAGTTTAGGTTCTCCATTCTGAGAGATGTCACAGGAACACAGACCTGGAAACCAACAATCAGATATTTTATTTTTTTCAGACCTAACATGATTGTCCAGTAGCCTCCTGGGCCATGAAGTCAGTCAGTCAGTTGGATCAGCATGTCTCCAAGAGCAACCCAGCCACCCAAGGCCAGTCTTCTGAAACCAAAAGTAGCACAGAAAAGATGGGGAACATGCTACATTCAGAACACTACTTGTCATGGTTTGGATAAGTCTGAGTGTCCCAGGGCCGGTGCTGTGGCATAGCAGGTAAAGCCACTGCCTGCAGTGCCAGCATCCCATATGGATGCCAGTTCAAGTCCCAGCTGCTCCATTTCTGATCCAGCTCTTTGCTATGGCCTGGGAAAGCAGTGGAAGATGGCCCAAGTGCTTGGGCCCCTGCACCCATGTGGGAGACCCGGAAGAAGCTCCTGGCTCCTGGCTTCGGATTGGCATAGTTCTGGCCATTGTGGCCATCTGGGGAGTGTCCCGGTGGATGGAAGACCTCTCTCTCTCTCTCTCTCTCTCTCTCTCTCTCTCTCTCTCTGCCTCTCCTTCTCTCTGCGTGACTCTGACTTTCAAATAACAAATCTTCAAAAAAAAAAAGTCTGGGTGTCCCCCAAAAGCCCATGTGTGACAAGCATGATTCCCCAGAGTCTGATGTCGATGGACTAAGGATGGAACTTAACCCAACCCTGGTGTCTGACGATGAGGCCTTGGAGTGATGAATTCTTTGTTGGAGAAGCGCCCTGTGATCCATCATGGTGACTACGAGAACCCATTCCGAGGAAGACGAAGACTGTGCTTCCTGTCTCTCCCTCTACTTCCTGATTCACTGGGTGATCCTCGTGGGTCCACGATCCTCCACCCTCATGAGACACTAGACCAATGGGGCTGCTGATCATGAACTCCGAACCTCCAACACCATGAACAAAAATAAACCTTCTTTCCTAAATAGCTCCCCTCATGTATTTGTTCTAACGATGGAACACTAACACAATACCTCAGAAACCTTCCTGCGAGCAGTGAGCTGAGGGTGTCTCAGCATTTTAGAGAAACTTAATAGTAAAAGAGATTCTGCTTGTGAATTGGGAAAGGGTAAAATCCTTTAGTCAGGCCTTGGAAACGGCTGTCCTGTCATTCAGCAGCGCTACAGTGACAACCAAAAGGCCAGCAATCCTTTGGCACCAGCTTTGCAGTGGCATCTTTGATGGCATCAGCAGTGTAACCTTGATTTGCACCACCCACTGTATTCAGACAGAAGACATGATGGTAAGTTTGGTGTGGGGCAGTTTCTACATGGTCTTAAAAATGCCAAATGTAATGACATTTTGGAACATACTTCATTGAGGATAACAGCAACTATTTTATGGAAACAGCAGTGTCAAAACTATAGGTATATGAAAGCTATTTTTAGAGCCATCTGATTGACAGCACACTATAATAGTCACAGACTTTGATATACTGCTTTGTACTTAGTTACAGCTATTGGTGTACCCACAAGCTCATCAGGACAGGAACCCAAGTACTGCAACAGGCTCTGAAATTTCATGGGCTCTTAAGAATTTCTGCTCAAAAAATAGACTGCTACTTTCTGTTCAGTTTTTCTATCAGCTTAAAATCACTCTTTAAAAAAAGGCTCTATTGATTTTAAAAAAATGTACACCATGGAAACAGTATTCTTTTTCATAAAAAAACATAGAATCAATGTGTCCCTTTTAAACAGTTACAAAACTTAAGTGTTAGCATTTCTGATCTTAATTCTTATAAACAAAACTAAAGTAGATTTCTTTTTGTTTAGAAACAATGTAAAGAAAGTTACTTATCCTAAAACGAAGACGAATTACTTTAGGTCCTATTTAGGCAATGCAGGAGAGTGAGTTAAACTGGGCAGGCATTGGGAAAAAAAAACCCAGATTCCTCTGGGAGATGTGCCTTTTGAACATGATGGAAAGTGACTGAGGGGAACAGTCAATGGTTCACTGCTAGAAGGGCCAAATTACTGCACAAATACCCTTGTTTTTATGTAATTAATTTAAATGTACTGAAAGGAAAAGTAATTTGGAGTATAAACATGATTACTCTCAGTTTAATGTTTTTGATACAACTTAAAATCAGTAACTTTCAAAAAAATCCCAATCATCTCTTCACCACAGCTCAGATATATTTTCCACCCTGCCTTGATATCTCAAGGCCTTAGATATTTCCAGAAATGACAGTTGTCCTTGACTTTTCTAAGAATGCCAATTATCATGCTGAGAATGTTATAATAACTTCTCCATTTATTATCTACTAAAAAAGTCTAAGTAATTTTATTTCATAGTGTCTCTGGAAATAAAACTGTGATCTAGAACTACTTCAAAAAGAGAGGGAGAGAACACAAAAGGAAAAGCTCGAGGGCAGGCACGGTGGCGCGGGGGGTTAAGCCACTACTTAAGGCTCCCATATCCTATATCAGAGCGCTGGTTCAAGTCCCGGCTCCTCTGCTTCCAATCCATCTTCTTGCTGATGCAATCAGGAAGGCAGAGGCTGATGGCTCACACATGTGGGGCCCTCCACCCGCACTGGAGGCCCAGAAGGAGTTCCTGGCTCCTGACTTCAGCCTGTTCCAGCCCTGGCTACTGCAAGTATTGTGCAGGTTTTGGGGAAATGAATCAGTGGATGGAAGATCTCTCTCTCAAACCAGAAAAAAAAAAAAAGATGAGCGAGCGAGAGAGAGAGATAGAGAGAAACAAGAAATTTTCTAAGAAACACAAGATAAAAAAAAAGAAGGAGGCCAGTGCTGTGGTGCAGCAAGTTAAAGTGCTACCTGTAGTGCTGGCATCCTATATGGGCACGGGTTCAAGTCCTGGCAGCTCCACTTCCAATCCAGCTCCCTGCTAATGCACCTGGGAAAGCAGCAGAGGATGGTCTGAGTCCTTGGACACTTGCACCCATGTGGGAGACCTGGAAGAGGCTCCAGGCTCCTGGCTTTGGATTGGTGCAGCTCCAGCCATTGCAGCCAATTGGGTAGTGAACCAGCCAGCAAATGAAGACTTCTCTCCCTCTCTCTCTGCCTCTCCTTCTCTCTATGTGTAACTCTTTCAAATAAATAAATAAATAAATCTTTAAAAAAAATTTATTTGGGTAGTGTCAGGTATACCACCGAGCAGGCATCACAAGCCTAAGTTTTCTCCTCCCAAAGCTGTTTCCTCAATTTCCCTGATATACCCAAAGGAAGTCATTAAAGCTCTGTGAATTGGCAGATTAGTGCTCTCATGAGATACTGACATTATTATAGAAGTTGGGAGAAAATAAAGATAATGGATTAATTCCTCAAGAGCTCTCTGCCAAGGGAGCAGGCGTTTAGTCTAGGAGCTAAGACACTGCATCCCACACTGGAGTTACTGGCTTGGATTCCTGCGTCCAGCTCCTGCTGACAGCTTCCTACCCATGCACCACCCTTGAAGACAGTGCTGATGGCTCAGAGCACTATGTTCCTGCCCCGCCTAGGAGATCTGGACCCAACCCTGTCCTTGCAGGCAATGGGGAAGTGAATCAGCAGATGGGAGTGCCCTGTCCCTCTCACTCGCTCTCTCTTTCTGCCTCTCAAATAAATACATGATTTTTAAAATAGAGACATCTGCAAAGATACATACCAACACCTCTCAAAACTCGAGCCCATGTGGAACCAACGATTGCATAGCCTGGACCCGACTCTTCATACTGTTAGTGGAAAGTCCTACAGGAAGAGAGTCTCAGAGTCAGAGATGATTCTTGGACCTGTGTGTATGGCAGTCAAAGAGGTTTAACTCTGACTTTGCTTCCATGTTCATAAAAGATAATATTAAACACGCAATATGAGAAAGTCATAATCATTCATAATAAAATGGAGACATTTATTTATTCATATGCTTTGTTTCATTTCATACCATTAACAACCCTAGTCTCACATTTCATGAGTCCAATGAATAAACTCTCGAAAGCCACAATTAGAGCCTGACTAAATACAGGTTTTGGCAGGTGTAAGTCCAGAGTCTGTTGCTCGGACTTGCCGATGGCGACTAAAGAGCCAATCACCCAGGAAACCATTGCCCCCTGACTCTGTAAGATCCTCTGTACCTGATTAGATACGATTATATGCAGAGCAGAACAGGTTTTTGCATGTTGTCAATCACAATTCGTATTTTCTATAAGTGGCCCTCCTACGAAAGCTATTCAAATCCAGTAGCGATTGATTATAAATTTTATTTTGTTATTCTCATTTTCAATAGTTCATTTTATTTCCAGTGATTTCTGTGTGTCTTCATTATGGCAGTTTTATGTTAGCTTTGGATCCTATTTGATTTTAATAGCCCTCTAAATCCTTTCATATCTAATAAATTTTCCAAAATTCCTAAGAATATTTAATTAACTAAACACTGAAAACAGGACCATCAGTTAGTATGAACAAGCAAGAAAGGCCTCTATGAAATGCAAACACTTACCTAAAAACTGGTATGATTTTCTCAGGATCACTGGAGACTTTTCCATTTGTGGGATCAAGTGACAATGTACAAATCTCAACCACTGAAACATTTCCCTTTTTCTCTATTTTTTTTTAATTGAAAGGCAGAGACACAGAAAGACAGAGACAGAGAGACAGAACTCCCATCCATTGGTTCACTCCCCAAACAGCCCACCAAGGCTGGCTTCGGGCTGGGCCAGACACTCCCTGCAGACCTCCCCCGTGGGTGGGAGGGCCCCAACAACTTGAGCCATCACCGCTGCCTCCCAGGGTCTCCATTAGCAGGAAGCTGGAATTGGAAGTAGAGCTGAGACTCAAACCCAGGCACTCATGGGGCCAGCGCTGTGGTGCAGCGGGTTAACACCCTCGCATCCCATATGGGCGCCGGTTCGAGTCTTGGCTGCTCCTCTTCCGATCCAGCTCTCTGCTATGGCCTGAGAAAGCAGTAGAAGATGGCCCAAGTGTTTGGGCCCCTGCACTCATGCAGGAGACCTGGAAGAAGCTCTGGCTCCTGGCTTCCGATTGGCGAAGCTCCGGCCATTGCGGTCAACTGAGAAGTGAACCAGCGGATGGAAGGCCTCTCTCTCTCTTTCTGCCTCTCCTCTCTATGTGTAACTCTGACTTTTGAATCAATAAATAAATCATTAAAAAAAAAAAAAAGGCACTCTGTTGTAACATGCAGGTACCCAATAGTTGGCTTGACCTTTAGGTGAATACCCAATCCCCATTTCCCTCTTGATGATTCTCTTTTTTTAAAAAAAATTATTTATTTCAAAAACAGAGTTACATAGAGAGGTACAGCCAGAGAGAGAGAGAGAGAGAGAGAGAGAGAGAAGTCTTCCATCTGCTGGTTCACTCCCCAAATGACTGTAACAGCCAGAGCTGGGCTGATCCAAAGCCAGGGGCCAGGAGCTTCGTCCAGGTCTCCCATGTCTTATTCCAGGCCTTCCAGGTCTTGGGTGCCAGGGCCCAAGGACTTGGGCCATCTTCTACTGCTTTCCCAAGCCATAGAAGAGAGCTAGATGGCTGGCGCCACGGCTCACTAGGCTAATCCTTCGCCTGCAGCATGGGTACTCCGGGTTCTAGTCCCGGCTGGGGTTCCGGTTCTGTCCCAGTTGCTCCTCTTCCAGTCCAGCTCTCTGCTGTGGCCTGGGAAGGCAGTGGAGGATGGCCCAAGTACTTGGGCCCTGCACCCATGTGGGAGACCAGGAGGGAGTACCTGGCTCCTGGCTTCGGATCGGTGCAGTGCACCAGCCATAGCGGCCATTTGGGGGGTGAACCAATGGAAGGAAGACCTTTCTCTCTGTCTCTCTCTTTCACTGTCTGACTCTGCCTGTCAAAAAAAAAGAAGAGAGCTGGATCAGAAGTGGAGCATCAGGGACTTGAACTGGCACCCATATGGGATACCGGTGCTTTAGGCCAGGGCGTTAACCCTCTGCTCCAGTCCTGATGATTCTCTTTTTTATGACACAATCATATTTTTATATCACATGGGGCTGGCACTGTAGTGCAGTAGGCTAAGCCTCCACCTTTGGTGCCAGCATCCCATATGGGTACCAGCTTGTATCTTGGCTGCTCCACTTCCCATCCAGCTCTCTGCTATGGCCTGGGAAAGCAGTAGAAGATGGCCCAAGTCCTTGGGTCTCTGCACCCAAATGGGAGTCCTGGAAGAAGCTCCTGGCTCCTGACTTCAGATTGGCGCAGCTCTGGCCATTGTGACCATTAGGGGAGTGAACCAGCGGATACAGGGCCTCTCTTGCTCTCTCTCTGCCTCTCCTCTCTCTGTGTAACTCTGATTTTCAAATAAATAAATAAACTTTTTTAAAAAAAGATTTGAGGGACAAAATGCTTTTATGGGTCCCTCTGTGTTCTTTGATATGTCTCACTGTGCACAGCAAATCCAGTGCTCTTCATTTGTTTATTAAACACAGCATGCAGGAGAGTTTTTCTTCATGCCAAACTATCCATGCTCATTGTAAAAAACGTAGGCAATGCAAATAAACAAAAGAATAAAAATAATATAAAAAACAGTCCAAGGTGTGGGCACTGCAGTGCAGAAGATTAAGTCACCACCCCACACTGGAGTGTCTGGTTGAGTCCCCTCTATTCTGCACTTACGATCCAGCTTTCTGCCAATGCATCTGGGAGGCAGCAGATGACGGCTCAAGTACTGGGGTCCTACACTCACATGGGAGACGTGGGTGGAGCTCCTGGCTTCAGCCTGGTCTATGTGTCACTCTGTCTTTCAAACAAATAGACAAATCTTTTTTAAAAATCATCTAAAATTCTACCACCTCTATACATTACCTTTTCATGTAGTTCTGTAACCAAGGAGGAGGACTTCCCCCTCTTATAGGCTCTGCTGCTAATGCTGCCTGATTTTGTACCATGTCATCCCATTCCATAAGTCACGCAGATTTGACCACTGGTGAACACCCTACCTGTATTAGGGTTTAGTTAAGAAAACAGACACTACCCTAGGTTTTTCAAACCAACTAAGAGAAAATTTAATAAGGAAATTGCTTGCATAGGAAATGGAAAAGCTGAGAAATCAAACACAGGAAGGTGAGATAACTGAAATGTTAGCTACAGCCAGAAACAACAGCTAGTCTAGGGCAGAAGAGACACAGGAGAAGTGGTTTTATCAGAGGACAGAAGTTGTGGCCAACCAGAAGCCAGCACCAAGGAAGGGGGATTTCCCTAAGGGAGCTGCAACCGCAGAGGCAGGGTCTGTTTGGAGGAACTGGAGACACAGAAGTGAAGTAGCCACAGTCAAGGGCCTCACAGGAATCAGAGAAATAGGAGAAAATATCCTAGCCTCAGCCCCTCTCTTAACCTCCAGTCATCCACCATTGTCTCTCCCTAGCCAAACTTACCCAGAAGCCTCTGGGAAAAGGAGCCTTGGAAATGATGGAGTAAGGGGATCGAGAATGAGCACACATAGGCAACTGGCCAGCAATTGCCTAAGAATTATGGCTAGCCATAAATTACAATGTCATGTTCTTACAAAAATGTTTAAGCTGAATAAAATCATTAGTTAGCAATCAGGCAAATTCAAAAAAACTGACATTGTACAAAACAACTGGCCTAAGCTCTCTGACATATCAATGGGCTAAAAAACAAAACAAAACAAAACAAAAAAAAGGCGGGGGGAGGCAGGAAACGTATCTAAAATAAAATACATTATTAGTGAGACACAGACATTTCAATGTGTGATCACAGATAGATACTGGATCAGAAAGAGAATCTTGTAAAGAACATTATGGGGCAATTAAAGAAATATGCTTATGGATAACACTTTGGCTTATGGTTGTATATAAAGGTTAAACTTATTTTTTTTTTTAATTTATTTATTTGAGAGGCAGAGAGAGGGGGAGACTCCCATTCACTGGGATGGCTGCGATGGCTGGGAATGGGACAATAGAAGCCAAGAACTCAATCCAGGTCTCCCTCATGGATGGCAGAAACCCAATTCCTTAAGCCATCACCACTGCCTCCCAGGGTCTGCATGGGTAGGAAGCTGCAGTCAGGAGCTGGATGCAGGAATCAAACTCAGGCAACCCCAATGTATGTGGGTGTCTTAACTGCAAATCTAAATGCCTATCCCCTTGGCAGAGATGAATTTTCTCTCAACTTCATGAGTGAATATCTCATTAGAACAATAATCTGCTAATTCACAGAGCTATAATGATACTCTTTTGACACTTCAGGAGAAGGTCTGAGAGGAGCATAACTACTTGAACCATAACCACTGCCTCCCAGGGCCTGCATTAGCAGAAAACTTGAATCAGAAGCTGGAGCTGGGGGCTGAACCCAGGTAGCCTGAAATGAGATGTGAGCATATTAACTGGCAACTGAACCACTATGGTAAATGTCCAACCCAAGGTTAAATTTCTTGAGTGTAATAATTTGGTGTGGTTATTTAAGACAAATCCTATTGTCAGGAGACAAATACTGAAGTATTTATATGTCAAACATTAAGATGTCTCCAACTAGCACCATACATATAATGGATGATAAAACTAATGTGCCAAAAAAACTTGAGATAAAACTAAGTTGGCCTCTGACCTTTGACCACTGGCATAGGTGAAAAGATGAACTAAACCAATCAATTCTTATGAATTTAAACCTAGGGGCCAGGGGCTGGAACTGTGGTGTAGCAGGTAAAGCCACTGCCTGCAGTTCCTGCATCCCATATGGGTGCCGGTTAGAGTCCTGGCTGCTACACTTCCCAT